TGCCTGGCAGGCTATGTAGAGAAGGGAATGGCATCCTGCTTATCCCTCTCCCTTGTTCGTTCCCTCATCTTCTGGGAGGGCATCTGGGGCATTGTTTGAGGGGCATAGGCTTTCCTGTGGGACCTGGGACAGGGGAAGTCCGTGATTTGGACGCCGGGCGGTATGTGAAGCTTGGGTTGCCTCAGCTGGCTGCTTCGAGGAAGAGCTGTGATGCCGGGCCTCTCGGGGTTGGCCCCCCGGCCCAGGAGCTTGCTCTGCTCCAGAGAAGCTTGCCCTTCAGGTTCAGCTAACGGAATTTTGAAGTGGTTGCTGACTTCCATTCTGGACCAGGTGCTGAAGCCTTTGTGGCACCTGGAATGAAAGGCAGCAGCATTGTCTGCAGTTGAAGGCAGACTGTGACTGCTGGAAATTGATGGTGACTGCTGTAATTTGGCCCTATTACTTATTCATTAACTGCATGCAGGTGGTCAGCTAGCCAGCAAGACCTGCTCTTTGAAATTTCATTTTCTGGAGGACTCCGTCATGTGTGCATGGCGCGGCACGCCACGACATTAATTTAATGTCTCCTTCCCACGGCTTCCTATCTCAGATGGTTCTGAGGAAAAGTCCTTTCCCTTGAATTTCTGCTCTGGGTTTGACTTCTTGTGGCTTAGGGCCTCTTCTCTTCCATTTGCAGCACACTGTAGTCACAATGAAAGTTTCCCAAGGGAGGGTGATGTGTCCAATAGATCTAGTACATAACGTTGTTTTCTTTGGGGCAAGGCTGGGAGGCAGAACACAGCGCAGAAGGGACGAGGAGGTTTAGGAGAGAAAACGAGGCACCAGAGATGGAGACTCAGCTTACCCGCACCAAAAAGGTATGCCTCTCCCAGAAGCCTGCGCATCAAGGTAGAGCCTGGCAATAATAGCAATGATTTAAAAAGAAACAAAACTAGAAAACAACAAATGCTGGTACAGGCATTGAAACTCTTATCTACTACTGATGGACCACCATCATTTCATCATTGTGAAAAACATTATGGTGCTTGCTTTTAAAAAAATATTGTGATTTTAATGAACGTTTACATTAAAGTTGGATTTTCATTCCTTAAAAAAAAAAAAAATAATGTCTCCTTCCCCCAGGAGGCCAAGCATGGGGTGTTGGCATGCCCTGCGGAGTGAGTGGCAGCAGCTCTGACCCCGAGTTCTCTAAGCTATGGTGGGGTCCAGCAGTGGGCAGAGAAGGGCTGCATGCACAGGGTTCTCTGGACACTGACCTCATCCTGGGGACACAGAATGCTTTTGGCTCAGGGCTCCTTCTTTTGTGCCAGCTCTTCCTCTTCAAACTGAAGGGAGAGATTCAGGGGCTGAATTGCCTTTCCCCCTGATGGCCTAGTGGTAAGGCATCATGCTGCCAGTCCAGAGGCATGTGGTTTGAATTCACCAGTTGCTCTGCAGCAAACAGATGGGCAGCGTCTTCCTGTGCGATTTGCTGCCTCTGAAAACCTGCTGGAGGATCAGCTGTGGGTCAGTTCTGACTTGGGTGGCACTTAACCACCACCGCCACCTCTGTCTTGAGGGCACCCTCTCCCTATCTAGTTGTTTCTGTTTGGGTCTCTTGTATGAGGGGATCTGGCATGGGCTGCTGTTGCTGACAGCCTAGTGAGTAAGAAGCTGCTTTGCCAACTCAAAGGCAGGCAGTTCGAATTCCCCAGCTTCTTTGCTGAATAAAATGGGCAGTTTTCTCCTGTGCTATTTACAACCTCTGAAAACCTGCTGGAGGGTCAGCTATGAGTTGGTCCAGACTTGACGTTACACAACAGACATTAGAAAGCACAGAGCAGGCCCTCTAACACTCCAACCTCATGGGATTCATCCTTTCATGCCACCCATTCTCCTGTTAGCACCCCTCTTCTCACTTCCCCCACCCCCACTTGTGTCAGTTGAGTCTCCAGTGCTGGTTTGATGTGACAGTCTGACATGCTAGGGTGACATTTAAATGATTTTTACTCTAATTAGCCCCTAAAACATGAAAAATAAGTACTAGCCAAACTTAATTATCTCTGCCCTTTAAAGAAAAGAAAAAAAGATGAAATGCAAAGTGCTCAAAAAGGTGCAGGTTTTGTCTGTGTTCTTGTCGTGAGCCAGCACCTAACCCTTCCCCGGGGAGGGGATTCTGGCCATCGGGACCCAGCTCTGGTCTGGCCCAGATGCATCATCTGGCCTTGAGAAAGGAGGGCAGGTGTCTCTTGGGCACAGGGCATTTGGTGAGCCTGGGACCCTGTGCTCACTCCCCCTGGACACCGACTGGCAGTGCCCTGTAGCCTGGCTGGCCCATGCCCCTCCTTGGCACCCTGTGGTAAGTGGAGTGGTGAGTGGATGGAGCACACATGGCCCTGAGGCCTCGCACGGAGCACAGCTTTTTACTTGCTCATCCTCTTTGCGTCCATCCTCCTGTTTCTCTGGCTCCACATTAAGATCTTGACCTCAAGCTCACCATGTTGGTTTTTTCCATGACAGATAAGGGACCCCTGTAGATAATGTATAACTTACAGAAATTGACATAGCCAGCTTATGAAAATAATGTGTGTATGCATGCGTGCATGTGTGCGCGTGCCTGTGAGTGGGTGGTGTCACATGGTTGAAATAAAAATCTGCACAGTGTGCATTACCTGTGTAAAAATCTGGTGCTTCATGGAGGTGTGCCCAGACTTCGAGTGTGAGGAGGGTGTTGAGAATCTTTGGGCAGTGAGAGTGGGAACATGTTGCCTGATGGCTTCTCTTGACAGAGCTGGTTGGGGCAGGGGACAGTGGTGGTTCAGTGGTAGATTTCTTACCTTTCGTGTGGGAGACCCAGGTCTGAGTCCTGGCCAGTACCCTCAAGTGCTGCTATCACTTGTCTACCAATGGTTCATATGATGTTGACTAGGTCTAGTGATCTGCTTCCAAAATTCAGTCACATGCAGCAAGCCTGAGGTCGCTGTGAATCAGCAACCAATGCAGTGGCAGCTAATGTCAGTGTAGAAGTGGGGTGAACAGCTGGACACCTGTGCCTGTTTCTGCGGCACGAGGCTGGCCTCCCCCAGATGCTGGAAGTGGGCCTTCTGGACATGTCACAGCTGGCAGTGATGTAGTTACTGCGGATCAGAGGCTCGCTGGAGTTGGCTGAGGATGCAGGGCATCTGTCTAGAGTGAGGACCAGCAGGGGACCCCGAGGCACGCGTTTCACCGACGGCCCTGCCTCTTGCTTCTCTGGCTTGTGCTTTTGTTCATGACTGTTGGGTAAGCTCCGTGCTGAGCGTCTGAAAGGTGAACCCGGGAGCTGCTTCCCCCATTGTCTCGATGAGGTGCTTGCTTGTCATCAGCAGATGCTAGATTTGAGCTCCACCTCAAACAAGGAAATGAACATGGCTGAAATGCTCCAGTGTATTCAGTCTGAGAGCTTGTGACTCAGTGAGAGAAGCTATTTGAGAGAAGCCAACAGGAAGGTAAAGCAAAGAGCTTTTGAGGTTGCATTAAACAGCTACAAGCGAGACTAGCGCCTGCATTGTGCAGATTGGTTTCCTTGCTTATAGCTGATGCCCCGGGGCTCTCACTCCCCCACTCCCCCCACCCCTCCCACTGCTCCACTCTCCCCACCCCTCCCACTCCCCCACCCTGCCCCTGCCCCCTCATGCCCACGCCCTCGGGTCCTGTGTTCTGCACTCCCTAGCCTCTGTCTGGTCCAGGATGCTTGTGTGGGTGTAGAGGGATGTGCTGAATTCTCAGAGAGGGGAGTGGGGCCCTTGCTTCTTGGCCAGTGATACAGGTCACTAAACCAGTGTCTCTCCACAAAGGATAAGCATGGCATTTAGGAAGCTGGCACAGGCCTTCACACTCCTCAAGGTTGTCTCATTGCCTGGCTCATACCAGGCCTCCCCAGCCACGCGCTGCTTTCTGTTCTCTCCTCCGCTTCCCTGTCATCTGCTCACCCCTGGAGAGTCTGGCGAGCACAGTGTGAAAGCCTCTTAAGGTTTTTGCCCCTGGCCTTTTTAGACTCTGCCACTCAACTCATTGCCATCAAGTCAGAACCAACTCATAGCTGACCCTCCAGCAGGTTTTCAGTCTGTTAATCTCCTGGGAGGAGATTGCCTGTCTTTTCTCTTGTGGATCAGCTGGTGGGTGTAGAACCACCAGAAAGGCACCACCGTTGGGGTAGCTGAACTACTTACTCCCTAGGGACTACGCCACGTGAGCTCCCTGGAACTCCTCCTCCAATGTCAGACCATAGCTCTAATACCTGTAATAACACCACACCATAGACAGGTGGGGTGTGGAATGGTGCAGGATGGAGATGTGCATGTCATCACTGCTGCTACAGGACACTTTTCCCCATTTCAGTAATTTCTATCATCAGCAGTGACACTGGCTCATCTGCTGACCAGAGAGATGGCATGTGTGTGTGGAGGTGGTAGCTTGCTGGGGCTTTTCCTAGGACAGCTTGTGAGCCAGAAGCCGTTGTGACACAAGGCTCCCAAACTCACCCACATGGTGTCTTTGTCGTCTCACGTAATACTTACTCACTGGCTGCTTTTTCTGACATGATGAGCAAATGTGAATTTTTCTCATCACACTGAGTAATATTGACTACTTCAGAATGTTAATGAAACCTTTTGTGCTTCTTTTGAGAGGCTCTGTCTTGGGCTGGGAGGCAGCTTGTCTTCTGTTCTGGAAGGTGGGGCCCACTGGTTGCTCTATAATTGGGCTCTGCTGACAGTGGGAGGGGACTGTGAGATGTGTCCGAGCTGCATGCAGCTGGCTGCCAGGTCACAGCTGGAAGTGGGACTGAGAGCAGATTGACTGGGGTCACTCAGGCCCTGTGACTTTTGGCCTCTGAGCCCTTGTTGGGCATACCCCTTGGTGCCAGCCCTGGGCAATAGGGGCAGCCCTAGGTCTGTGGGCTGGGCTTAGTAGGCGGGAAGGTAGCCTGTGCTGAGCTGATGCTGAGTCCTGACCTGGCACTCCCTGTGTTTCTCTTTGAGGATCCACTCCAGGGAGTTTTTCAAGGAGAAGTATGCCGTGGATGACGTCCAGTATACAGATGAGGTAAGAGCAGCTCAGAGCTTCCATCCATCGTCTGTTCCCCAATGCTGCAGCCCAGCCCCTGAGGAAGTGCCCTCATGAGACAGCAGGTCAGCCCTGTGCACCCCAGGCCTCTCAGAGGACACTGTTTTGCCTGGGTAGTGCTCCTCATAAAGCTGAAGTGTCCGGTGACCTAGCTCACGGCTGCTGAGAGTGGCCTGCCTACAGCAGGGTCCCAGAGCTGATCAAGCCACCCCAGGCTTGGGCACTTGTGTGCTCTGTGGCCCTGAATGCCTGTGGGTGCTGCTGTCTGTATAGCACGGAAATGCCTGTGGGTAGAGCCAGGGAAGTCACTTGGCATTAATTCATCTCCCAGTTTTGTTGCCCAGTGGGTGTCATGTGGTAGGTGTATGAGTATTCTCCTGGGATCTGGCAGCTGTTCTGCATCCCAAGACAGCCATCCTCATGCCACTGCCAAGGCCAGGGCTGTGGCAGACGTGAGAGCACAGCTGTGAGCCCCTTGGTCTCCTTGTAACACCCCACTCCCGAAACCACTGTTCAGAGGCTTGTCTGTCCTTCACTGAGTTCTAAGACCTAGTTCATATTAGAACTGTCCTGTAGGGTTTCTGAGGTTGTAAATCTTTCTAGGAACAAACTGCCTCCTCTTTATCCTGCAGAGAAAGATGGTGGGTCTGAACCTCTAACCTTTTGAGTAGCCGCCCAATGCTTACGCTGGGCTCCTTGAGTGTAACATGGCAGTCTCTAACGGTTGTGTAGATTCCTGACCAGCTCGTACTTCAGCTGCATTTATAAGGCAGAAACCTAAAAGAAGACTTCAGCAGACTGCAGAGGGCTTCCCTGCGGGCTTCGTCCCAGCATTGACAGCCCGAGTAGATTTCATTGTTACTCTTACCGCCCTTATTAGAAATAAGGGCTCATGTTGACCCTGAGGCAAGTGCCGTGGGTTCCAAGAAAGTCTACAGCTCTGTAAGATTCCCACCCCAGGATGGGGGTGTACCCAGCCATCCCCCTGTTTACAGAAGGGATGCTGCTGCTGTACGCGAGGGAAGTAGCAGAGATGAGGTGCATTGGCAGAACTAGGATGCAACTCGAAGGAGCTCTGGTGGCAAAAAGCTGTGCTGCAATCCCGAAGGCACATAGTTTGAGGCCACCAGCTGCTCTGCGGGAGAAGGATGGGCAGTCTTCTGTGCGATTAACTGCCTCTGAAAACCTGCCAGAGGGTCAGCTATGGGTTTATTCTGACTCAACAGTACACAACAACAACAACGACAGGGTGCAGCTCTGGGCCCTCCGAACCACAGAGTCCCTGCTCTTAACACCTGTACTTGTCCTAGCAAAACTGCAGGTCGCTTCTGTGAAGGTGACACGGGCTTCCAGGAAGTAAGTACAGATTGCTGGACTAAACCACCTGGGTGGGGAGATGGTTCCCAGTTGCTCCAGGTAACTGGGGCCACTTGATCATGGAAGGTGACAAGAAGCCCTTTTGTGTGGGAAAGTTTCCCAGGTCAGTTCTGTCATACTTACTCAGTCCTGTTTGCCTGCAGGTAGTCCTTGGCCAGCCGTGACAAATCACCTGTGAGAAACAGCTGACTTACAGCTCATGCCCTATTTCCCCTGCAAAAGGCAGCAAAGCCAGCCTCGGGCCACAGAGAGTCATTTAATATTATATCTAAAATGTAGGTGTCTGATACGGCAGAGGGTTCGCTAGGTCCCCTCCTCCCTGTGGATGATCTTGAGTTTAATTGTTGAGAAGGCAGTGCATGTGGTAGGTGGCCCCTGAGAAGGCTCAGGGCGTGGGGAAGGGCTTCTGCTCAGCCTCCCTGTGGAGAGGCTTCAGGGAGTGGTAAGGACTGTGTTGGGACCGGAGAGTTCACACCTCTTCTGAAGGGGGAACTGCTGTGTGGGCCTGCTGACCCCGTGTGTGGATGTTCTGATTGTTCCAGGGCAGCTGCATGTAAGATTACCTGTGATGTTTCCTGTTGTTCAAACTTTGGAAACAAATTCAAAGTTTAAGAAAGCCCTTCTTGGGATGATGAGTCACTAATGTGCAGGCCAGATTAAGGAGACTGCCGCAGCCTCATGGATAATGAGTTGCACTGCCAACCCAAAGGTAGGCAGTTCAAGTCCACTAGCTGCTCCACAGGAGATAGTTATTGACCTTCTGCCTGATTTACGGCCCTGTGAGAGTTTGAAGAGAGGTTTGTTTAAACAGCTTGCGTGCCTGCTCTCTGGAGTTGCATGAACAAAGGAAGATTCAGTGGCATTCTGCAGTTATCACCAGTAGGGTACCCTGGGAGGCCCCGTGAGTGCATGAAATGCCCCGCAGAAGCCTCTGATCCTCCCAGGAGGAGGTACATGTCCTTGGGGATCTGATGTGGGCTCCCCTTTTTCTCAGTAAAGGCGACTTGGGGGAACTCAGTGCTGCTCCAGCGTGAAGCCAGCAGGGACATTGAACAGTCCTGGTTTGTGAAAGCTGGTGTGACCCCCGCCAGATGGGGTCCATGTTGACAGACCCATGGCAGCACCGGTGCTGGGGCTGCCTCGGAGCTGGCAACACCCAGCTGTGCTATGCCCCTTCATTTCCGAGGCTCGGAACTGGGTGTGCTGTCGGTGGGTGGCACTAATGGGTCTCGGTGGGGAGGGCTGAAGCTGCCAGGTGGGGGGCGCTTTGCAGCCGCAGTGGTAACCTGGGCCCACTCAAGCAGTTGTGATCAATAAAAGCTGGTGCCCTGCCAAGAACAGCAGACACATGGCCTGCTTGGGGAGCCAGACCCGATCTGTCTGTGCGTCAGGCTGCACGGAGAGGCCCGTGCTCGCCGCCATTATTCCTAACCTGCACGTCTGAGAGTCGTTGCTGAGAGAAAAACCATCAGCGGGCACATTTGTTATCCTGTTCCTCTCTCCCAAGGACAATAGCTGATACAATCCCCTCGTGCCTCCTCGTGCTCCGATTCTGCAGCCGTGATTGACGGAGTTGTGCGCTGATGGATGTGGACCCTTCTTGTCCTAACAGCACATGCAGGGCCCTCCACGTGCGGCAGGCTGCTTTTAATGAGCCCACCCCTCCTGGGGGGGCCGGGAGGGTGGGGCCCCACCAAGGCTTTAATCTGTGGAACACTGAGGCCCAGGAATTGAGCCGCCCCAAAAGCAGCTGTAAGTAAATCAGAGAGGTACAAACCAGGAGGGCCAGCTGTCCAGGAACATAAAAATCCAGACAAGGCACATGGGTTTCACCCAGCAGCTCCACTAGAGACTCAGATTTGATTTTTTTTAAGCTATTGTAAAATATAATTTCCTATCTTTATATTTTGGTAGCACAAATGGTTAAGCTCTGCTTTACAAACCAGAAGGTTGGTGGTTCAGACCCACCCAGAGGTACCTCAGAAGTAAGGTCTGGGGACCATCTCCTGGTAAATGCCAGCCTTGGAAGCCATCCATCCATCCATCATCTATCTCTTGCTCTGGTGGCTTGGTGAGAAAGAATTGCACTGTTGAGTCAAATGTACACATTTCAAATCCACAGGAAAAAGTTGGGCAGTTTCCTCCTGTGCTATTTACTGCCTCTGAAAACCCACTGGAGGGTCAACTATGGGTTGGTTCCAGCCCTTTGTATATATCAATGACATTTACTATGCCCTAAATCTTAGCCACTAGACTGACCTATAGGCATGATAAATAAAGTTGAGACTGTCAACTACTTCATATACAATCAGTACTCTTGGTACCAACAGTCAGGAAATCAGGAGAGCTATTATACTGGGAAAGTCTGCAGACAGGGACCACTCCAAATTATTGAGGAGCAATGTCAGTTGAAGACTAAGGTGTGTCTGATTGAGGCCATGGTCTTTTTAATCACTTGCTATGCATCTGAAAGCTGGGCAGTGACTAAGGATGACAGTAGAAGAATTGATGTCTTTGAACTGTGGTGTTGGAGAAGAGCACTGAACATCCCATGGACGGCCAAAATAACAAACAGATATGTCTTGGGGAAGGTGCAGCCAGAGTGCTGCGTGGAGGCAAAAATGATAAAGCTTCGTCTCACTTACTTAGGGCGTGTTGTTAGGAGAAGTTATTTCTTGAAGAGGGACATCATGGTTGGAAAGGTGGAGGAACGGCAGAGGAGAAGAAGATCCTCAACCAGATGGGTTGTCAGTGATGGTAGCAGAGGGTTTGAGGGTTTCAGAGATTATGAACAATGTTTAGATTGCTTGTTTATAGGGGTGCTACAAATTGTACCCAACTCAATGGCACCTAACACCACCCCCTCCACCATTCCCTGCAGTGTTATCACCACAGTCCACTTACAAGGGTTTTTCCTCGCTCCAAAAGTGGAGAGCATTAACTCCTCATTTCCCTCTTCTCCTAGCACCTGGTGACCACTGGAACTATGGCCTCCTGCATTTGTGTAGTTTAGATATTCCATGCAAGATCATGCATTTGTCCTTGTACAGCTGCCTTATAGATTTTTCTTTTAAAATGAAGTACAATTTTAAAGGAATTTATTTTAAGAAACTAGCCAAAGCCTAGGTGAACAAAGGTGTTCACTGTAGTGTTGTGTATAGTAGCTAATCGTGGCCCAGTGGGTAAGGAGTTGTGCTGCTAACCCAAAGGTAGGCAGTTGAAATCCACCAGCTGCTCTGTGTGAGAGAGATGGGCAGTCTCTTTCCATGTGATTAATAGCTTTTGAAAACTTGGTGGAGAGTGAGTCACTTATGTGTCAACAGCACATAGCAACAACAGCAATCTTTAGGAAGAACTTAAGAATTCAATGGAAAAATGATGAAACAGCGTGTATCTGGTGGCATAGTCGGTAGAGATTTGTGCTGCTCAGAGGCTGTCAGAATCCCCCACCACCAGGTTCTCAGGAGAGTTGTAGGGCATGATTTACCCACTGGAGGATCAGCTATGAGTTGGTTCTGATGCAACAGCATTGAGTTTTGATCTGGGAAAAAAGTTATTATTCTGGTTAAAGATTCACATCTGCTCTTTAATGTTTTGTAACTGAACTTGGGCAAGTTACATAACCTTGAATCCTTTCTAATTGTAATTGTAGCTGTAACCAGCCTGCGGACAGTTGAGAGAGATGCTAACATATGCAGTATTGTTAATAGGCCAGGTCATGTTTCACAGTGCAGCAGCTGTTGTGGACTATTAAGTTGTAACTAACCCATGGCTGAGCCTCAGTGGGTTTTCCAAGGCAGTTAGTCACTTGGAAAGTGGTTGCCTGTTCCTCTCCCAGAGGGACGGCTGGTTGTTTGGAACTGCGTGCCTTTGGTTTGGCAGTGCCAACCCCTCACCACTACCACAGCTTGAGGGAGTAGTGGCTGCTAAAAGGTCTTTGAAGATACAGGTTTGAGCCTGGTGGCATTAGTGCTTAATGTGTTGGGCTGGTCACAATGGCTGACAGACACTTCTTGGGAGAAAGATGGGCAGTCCCCTCCCATAAAGATTTACCTCGTTGGAAATCCAGTGGAGGGGCTTCTAGGAGTCAGGATCCACTTGATGGCAGTGGGGGTGGTGGCTGTGGAACCCAAAAGTAGAGACCTTTTATCAATGACAATGGGGCAAAACCACTGATTTATGTGGGAACAGTTTTTGAGTGTTCCTTTATCAAAAAACCCCAACCTACCAAATACACAAAATAACACATGGAAAGTAAAACACGTCTAATCTATAGTGTTCACAGACACAGTTCAGAGCTCCAGCAGCTTAGTGCTGACTGTCATTCTGCGGGACGGAGCTCAGGGACCCCACTCTCGCTACTGGGATGCACACTTCCTCTTCAGCAGCTCTCTATAAAACCAACACTGAACAATAGTTTTGTGTGTCATCTTTTTCCTAAAAGCAAAAATCTTCTTTGGCTTTTGTTAGGTTAGCTAAAATGGGTAATGTTGGTCTCTCATGAAAGTAAAGTGGCCTGAAGCAAACTTGTGAAAAATGGGGAATATCTCTGTTATTAAACATACACATAAATGTCAAAACTTATAAAAGTTTACATGTTCAACAAATGCAGCTTGGTGTGTGACAGTTATACCTCGAAAGTCTGTGGAAATAGCAGTGAACTCCTTCCTCTCCCACTGTGTGGAGCATGTACGAATCTCGGGCAGTGATGGGGCTGTGGGTGGGCTGCAGAGAGGGCACTCCTCTCTACTGGTAAGGGAGCATGAGCCTTAGCTCCAGTAGGGTGTGCAGCAGCCAAGACTTAGAGCTGATGGAGCAGTGGGTGTCAGAAGAGGAAATAGCTTCTCCAGGGCTTATGACCATGTCTGGGGGGCAGGTGTCATGGGGAGCACTTTCCCAGAAATAATTAGTGCTGCCACGTAGGAGAGTGAGGTGGGTAGAGGAGGGAGTAGATGAACCTGCCTGGGACCTGGTGGACTTGGTCCTGAGTGTGCAATGTGGCTAAGATGGGGAGGAAGCATTCTGGGCTGAGGAAGAGCAGGAGTAAAGGCCTGGAGAGATGTGTGTGCATGGCACAGTCATGTAAGGGCGGTTACACACCAGCAGAGGCATTCAGGGCATGACAGGGTGATGGAGAGTGGGGCCTGGGGTGGGAGAGGAGAGCCATGTCCACCCAGACTAGGAGATGAAGAGGAGGGAGACGAGGAAGTAAGGGAGCCTTGGAGGCATCCACCCAGTGATGAGGGGCTGGTGGGGCCAGTGCCCAAGTGCTTGCCAGGGACAGATCTTTCTAGAAGAGCTAGCTTTATAGGGTAGGAACATCTGGACATTTGGGATCAGGAATCTGATGTAAGCGGAGGGTAGGAGATGTTGGGAAGTTTGGGGTTTGAATCCTTCCCTCCCATTTGGTAGCTGTGTAACTTTCTGAAGTCCCTTAGCCTGCCAGCCTTAGTGTTCCCCATCTGCAGGATGGGAACATCACATCTTGATAATGTCTTAGAGATTTGCTCAATAAATGTGAGAAAACATGATGTGGATTTTCTAAGAGTTTTCTTTCTCTCAGATTGCCAGTGTTCTGACGTCACGGAGCCCCTCTGTCCTGCTCACTCTGGTAAGTGCTTGGTGTCCAGGGACTGGGCAGTGTTTCGGCATGGCAGAGAGGGTTAGGGAACAGCCTGGCCCTGCAGGGCTCTGAGGCTTAGGGAGGACTGAGAAACTGAGAGGAGGTGGGTGCAGTTCACATCGTTCCTTAGCATGTGTGCCATGCCGCATCAGTGAGGACGAGCTGAGCGTGTCCAGGACTGTTCTCAAGTCTTGAGCTCACTCTGAGATGGACTTTGCTTTGCCACTAAGACCAACACTATACTCAAACCCAAGGGTTCATACCTGGGCTAGAAGGTAATAGTTGTGTTGTGCTGCAACATGGGGTTTGTGGGTGTAGAACACCCATTTACTTCCAGCCTGTGTCGTTAGTACAGTTTGGAACACAACTCCCTGGCACCTGTCTATGAGGCCCTGGGTTTTGAACTGGAGGGCAGTGGATAACAGAGGACCTCTCCCACCCTGTGGCCCACTGTTTGGGTCTGCCTGGGGGACTCCTGGTGCCTGGGCCATGAGGCTTTCATACAAGCATGCTTTCTTTCTCTTCCTTGACCCTGGGAATTTCAAATAGGTAAAATGTGTCATTTTTCTCCCACACCCCATTCCTCCCAAAATGACCCTCTCTCTCTCTTATGAATTGATTTTTATAGAAAGAGTTTCCTTGGTTGTTTTGGTTTTGTGTTTTGGTTTTTTTTTTTTGTAGCACTCTATATAGTCTCCTTTTCCACTCTGTGGAGAAAGAGGGCTCTGACTGTGGTTAGAGTCTAATGTGTTTTATTTGGCAGTCCACGTAGGCCTTGACCTAACGTCCTTGAGTATGTGCAGTCGCATGATGCCTCACCTCTCTGAGCGTGGCACGTTTCCCTCTGACTCCCTGGTTCTGGCTCCACACTGGTCTCAGGTCCTTCACAACAATGAATTAGGGAAAGGAGGAACGAGGTAGAGCTTTGTGGTAATGCTCTGAGGATACGGCCCGCCTGAACAGGGCTGGCGTCCATCCCTCAGAGGGCTGGACTTGCCTGTACTCTTCAGATCTAGTAGTGCTGCTGGGAGATGCAAATGGTTATTGTGCTGGCTACTGACTGAAAGATGGGTGGGGTGGTTCAAGTTCACCTGGAGACGCTTTGGCTGAAAGGCCTGGCAATCCATTTGGTAAAAACAGCGTTGAAGACCCTACAGAGCTCCTTCTACTCTGACACACACGGCGTTGGACTTGACTCTACGGCAGCTGGTTTGGAGCCTGTGCAGGAGCTGGCTGAGGGAGAGCATAGCTGAGCGTCCAGTGGGGAGGGGGTCCCCTATGTAGCTCTGTTCACCTGTGTCCCAGCAGTCAGACCTGAAGCCAGCCAGTTCCTTGACTGACCGTCAGGAGAGGGAGGTGTTGTGATGTTGTGACGTCTGGCCCTGAATAAAGAAGGGCCAGTCCCAGGGTGGCCGCCCTCCTGCCCGCTCACGCTTTGCTCTCTCTTCACAGCGCGGTGTCAACACAGACAGCGGCAGTGTCTGCAGGGAGGCCTCCTTCGAAGGCATCAGCAAGTGAGTTCTGGGACGCTCCTGCTCCCCACTGTCTCACCCCAACACCAGCAAGTCTACAAGTTGGGCGAGAAACCCACATAACAAAGGAGGGCTCTGAAAGAGTCAGACTGAGCATTCTGAGGAATATTTTTTAAAAAAATAAGTCACTGTTGATTGTCCTCTGAGGATGTCTGCTCTCCATTGTGAAGGTGCAGCCCCTCCAGCCTGTTTGGGGAGCCCTGGCTGGCCAGATGGGAGTGGTGTTGTTGCTCGTTGCTGTCAAGTAGGCTATGTCGCTTTGTGACCCTTTTGAACAATGAATCTAAACGCTGCCCTACACTGCGCCACTCTCACCATCTCTAACACACTTGCGTCCGTTGCTATACTCTTTCAGTCCATCTTGTTGAGGGTCCTCCTCGCTTTCACTGACCCTCCATCTTTCCAAGTGTGATTTCCTTCTCTAAGGATTGGCAGCCCAACCTAACAACACATCGAAGTATGTGAGGTGGAGTTTCACCGTCCTTGCCTCCAAGGTGGGAAGAGGTGGGAAGGCCCATCTGCTCTGAGCTCTGGAATCTTTGTTCTTAACACACCCTTAGAAACAAAGTCCCTCCCCTCAGCTGGGTCACTAACCTCTTCTAGACCAGCTCCTGACAACTTCCCCTTGATCCCTGCCTCTCACCTGCCTTCACTCCTCAGCTCAACTCCAGTCTGAGTCCGAAGCCCTGTTTGGGAAGGGATTTTGCCTATGAGGCCTTTTCAGGCAGAAGGACAGATGTTGGGCACAGAACAACAGCTCACACCCCATCGCTACCCCTCACCCACGGCCCCTAGAGAGTGCTTTCTGCCAGCTGCGCCCAGGTCTCTGAGTCAGTGACTGGCCTGGGGTCTGCAGGTCCTGCGTTGGGGGGCTGATGCTGATTGCAGCAGATGGGCCCTGAAGGAGAGTCTGCTCCCAGCCTGTCCTTTCTGTGCTCGGAGACCCACCCCTCCCACGGCAGCTGCTTTGTCCTCGCTCGTCCTTTGGTGGACCCAGGCGGTGACAGAGGAAGTGCCTTATAATTATGTATGAGCCTGAGCCTCGGGAATTGTGTGTATGTGTGATGTCGGGGTGATTAGGAAGGATTATGAGCTCATAAATATGTATCACTTTCCTCAATGATAAGACTAAGGAGGGGGGAAGTTGAGTCTCAGGTTTGCTCTTTTTCGCTGCATAAATCCTACGTCCTCTCTGGAGTTTCCAGGGCGGCCATGCCTGCCCTCCAGCAGTGATGAGCCGAGCTCGTGGGAATGCAGTCCAGGAACCAGTGTCTCTTCCCAGGGTCAGCACTGCTCTCCCCATGTCCCTCCAGCATGCCCTCATCCTTCTGGATCCTTCTTCCAGCACCATGACATACTCCTGCAGTGCTGTGCGACCACCATAGTCTCTGCTTGGACTTGTGGAGAGGGCACTGGACTGGAGGTGGAGGCCCTGGTGGCTGCCTCACTGGCCCATGGCCTTGGCAGGTCACTTCATCACTTGCCTACTGAGCCTCAGCTTCCCTATGTGGCTTGGTGCTGCTGGGCATCAGGTGCTCCCTGGCCAGGAGCTGATGCTTTGTAAACCATTGTCCACAAGCAAACCCGATCCCATCCTTTTACCCTCCTAGAACTCAGTCCACAGTCAAGCAGGTAGATTTCAGGAATCCTAGACGTCAGTGAGTGGTGGGGCTGCTTGACTGTGCCTGCCACTGGAGAGCTGTGCTACAGAGGATGTCTTCTCAGCACTACCAGCGCCAGGCTGGTGGGACCATGGCAGACATGGAGGCTGCTGGGAGTGTGGCAGGTGTGGATGGGACTGTGGCAGGTGTGGGTGGGGCTGTGGAAGGTGTGCTTTCAGGAATGTGGCCTCTGTAAGCAGAGCACTGGGAGGGGAGGCCAACAGGGCCCCAGGGACATCATTACATCAGCAGGACAGCAGACTCAGTGTTCACCTCTGTGTACTCCAGCTTCTACCTGCAGTGAGCAGACCCCAGCCTGTCCTCTTGTTGTTCCTTGGAGCCCTGAGTCCAGAGGAGGCCTTACTTTGCCCTGTGTAGACTCCTCGCCCCTAGATTGTCATTTGAGAGGTTGTTTTGGGGAACCAGAAGCCGCCTTAAGTTTGGACAGTCTTCCCCAGCACTAGGCTGGCACTGCTTCAGTGAGAGGCCGACTGTGATGTGCTCACCTGCTCCATCAGGTGAGAGAGCGGCCTGTGTATTGAGGGTATTGGGTGTGCGTGCATGTGCGTGCACGTGCGCGCACCCCCACCCCCCCCCAGCAGCAGGTGAGAGCATCCCACATGTCTCCCTGTTACTCAGTTCCCTGGCCTGCTCATGGTGTTCGCTCTGCTTCTCATCCCCTGAGAGCCTTACCTACTCATGCTTCACTCTGGATCCCATCCCACTGTGCCCCTCTTCTTGTAACCCCATTCACTGAACTGGATCCTCTGATGTGCCACCACGTCCCCACCTTGCAGACTGTGAGCACCTTTGGCCACCCTGCGGCTCCTTCCCTGTGGAAACCATTCCCAGTCGCACCCATTACTGTGGTCTGAGCGCCTCCCACCCCCGAGGCTGCTACATCTCAATCCACCACTTGCATTCTGTGCCAGGCCAGAGGGGCACTTTGTCCTCGAGGGCTGCCGAGGCTCAGCTGACCGCATTCACCTGCCTGCCATCCGCGTCTCCAGCTGTTTGCCTGGGATAAGAATAGCCTGTTTCCTAAGCAAGATGAATCTTGCTGTCGTCCTACTTTCTAATGCTTAGATGCTCCCGTCACTGGCCGTCCTCACCGCCCTGATGAAAATCCGCCTTGCTTCCTGGGGTTTTTCTTTTTTTAAATTTTTTTAAACTGCTCAGAAACATCTCCCATATGCATCTTTGGCTGACCTCCTCCAATAACACAAGTTTGAGTTTGGCATTTTTTATGGCCCATCTCAGGCTGCCTTGACCTGAAGGGATAAGGGTGTTTGTGGTAGAACAGTGGCCTCACCTGCCCACCCCTTCCCACTTCCAATGAGGCAGTTGCCCATGACCTTCTCTCCAAATGTAACTTCTCAGGGTGTCTGCCTGCTGCGTTTGGCCTCAGCCTTGGGGCTGGGAGTCTGGCAGTGGGCGATCCAGACCCTCCTGAGCTCCAGTCTTCCCAGATCAGGACACATGGAAAGTAGACAGCTTTCCAGGCCATGTGTGGTGGGGCAGGGGTGGACTGAAAACAGAGTGAGACAGGTGTTGGGGCTCAAGGCTTGGGAAGCAGAGGGATCCGTATATCCTGAGGCCCGTAGGCTCACTGAGAGATGTGACCCTGCCTTTCCTGAGGGAGCAGAGGTGAGAGGAGGAAGGAAGCAGGACGCTCACCCCCTGGCCTGGTGCTGAGTTTGGAGCCTGGCTGAGACATTGTCTCTGGATAGTATTACCTGATCAGTGGTTGTTGTGGTTGTATGCTGTCAAGTCGGAACCAATGCGTAGCTGACACTCCAGCATCAGAAGCAGTTCATTCCATGAGAGGAGATTGCTCTTCTTTCTCCTGCTGGTGGATTAGAACTGCATGTCTTTGAGATTACAGCACCATTCATTACCACTAGGCAACCAGAGTTCTGAAGTAGGGAAGACACACAGGGAAGGTTATGTAAGTGCTAGACTGGATTCAGGCTTGGGATGGGGTGGGGATTGGGGTGTGGGGTCAGACACATGTCAGTTATGGTGACAGAACGGTAGAGGAATGGAGGCCAGGGGCAGGCAAAATGAGAAGGGTATATCTGGAGAAAAGGCTGCTGGGTGCACTTAACGCTTGCAGACTGAGAGTAGAGTCATACCTGATAAATCTTTATTAGCATCCAAGGCGGTAGATTCTAAAGTGCATTGTCATGAGTGAGAGGAACAGGCTGTGCAGGGAAAGAGATGGTCTGTGGGGCCAGATGGCTGGAACCCAGGACTTGCTGACCCATCAGGTTTGCAGAGCTCGTTGAAGTCAGCCTCCTGGCCAGAGACACTTTCCTCGAAAATAATGGAATCTGTGCCTGGGAGCCCTGGGCTGCAAGCTGCCGAGGACTCTGGCCCATGCGATTGTCTCAGAGAGAAATATGGTCAGTATTTTACATCAGCTGGTTATTCAGGACAAGCATATTTCTTATCTTTTGGCATTTTCTTAAATTGCCTTGCATATTGGAAGACAATTGGTTACAAATTAATCCCATTTAAATAAGCAGTTAAATATGAAATTGCTGAATTTGAGGGTTGTTAAGCAGGAGTATTAATATTCAAAGATATGAATTTTAAAACTCCGGAAGTAGAGGGCCATTATTAAAACTTGACTATTACAGCAAAAGGCCAATTTGTGGTTCAGGGACCATGGCTTTCTGGTCACCGTTAACTTGCATGTCAAGTTAATATTTAGGATTGGGTTTCTAATTATGGCTCTGGAGAGACCTCTGAGGAAAGGTATCCTGAGGAGGTGAGAATCTGCCCCAGTCCCTGGCTTAGGGCAGGTGGGGGCCGTTTTCCAGGCCTGTGCTCTGAGCCAGACCTGCCTCCTTCATTGGGTTGGAAGCTCCAGGGCTGGCCAAGTCTGAACTCCTCGCTCTTCCATCTGGAAACTACCCTTCTGCTTCTGGGACTCTGCCCTTCCCCGCCCCCCCATCCCAGGTACAGGTGAGGTGCTAGGGGTATTAGTGTGCAGTTAATACATACTCATGGAAGAAAATGCTCATCAGCACAGACGCAAACACTAAGAATAGCCAGCATTCTTGTGTCGAGATTTAAACCCTGTCAGCAGTTTATTAGTGAGGATCTGGGGCTGAGTGTCTCTCTCTCTCTCTCTCTCTCTCTCTCTCTCTCTCTCTCTGTGTGTGTGTGTGTGTGTATGCTTATCTATGTATGTGCATCTGTGTAAGACTATCTTTGTCCAGGTTTATGTTTGTCCAAGGACGTGTGTGTGTCTTTCTGTCTGCACATCTCTTAAGTGCATCTGCTGGAGTGTGTGTCGGTGTATGTCTGTGTGTG